CACACACACACACACACACACACACACACACACACACACACACACACACACACACACACACACACACACGAGAACTGTGTGCTTCATTGTGGCTGAATACAAATCCGCCACACGTTCTTTCAAGTCTTAAAGTCGGCCTTTGTACACGTCTCACAGGAAACTGGGCTGATTTTGACAGATGTGGCGACGAATTTCTGTTTTCCTGTAAACATAACGCAACAAGAACGACTTGAGTCAGCAAAAAGTGTTGGATTAAAATAAACCTTTTTTCCATATTTGCCTTCCTCCCTCGCAGCAGCGCAGCTAATGAGCAGCCGCGCCGTGGGGGATTATTACAGTATAACTGTTTTAGAAGAGACGACTGTGACATATCCCTCCTTCCTGCTGAGTTCACGACCAATACGGATTAGTCAAACCTCCACCCCGGCTTATCATATGGATGGGATTAACCTGCACCGCCGATCATATGCACATGGGAACGGCTCCGGGCGACGCATAAACACAATCACATGCGAGGCACACAGAAGTGATTCTGTCCATTCCTCCGGCGCTGCTGTTGCGTGGTTAAGAAAATAAATATAACAACTACATAAATAAAAGCAAAACAGGCCTCTGTTGCCATACCTACAAGTCATCTGCTACTCCTTACATCACTAACGATGTTATCATTTGGCTTTTCAGTAAGCGCCGCGGCATCTTTCGTGCTGCGTTTGTGGTCCCATGTGCATGAAAAGATGAGCTGGGTTGTGCTGCTACAGGAAAAGTGTCAGGAGTTCACACAAATCTTCACACTAATACAATAATTTTAGAGTGAACTGTCCAACTGCCTGAAACATGCAATTAATTTATCTATGCTCCCAAACTACTTCATTACTATGGATAAAAAAAATGATGGAAATCTACTTGTGAGAGATCTACTAAAACAGCAAAGCCGAAAATCCTGCAAAAGCAGGGTTGTGTGTCAGAAATGTCACGTGACCCTGAAACAAAAATGCGTCAGCTGATGATAAGTGTTCATAAGTCATCGCTCTACCATTTCACAAGGCACATTTTATCTGATTGTAATAGCTGAGTGCTTTTGGGGGAGGGGGGTGGCAAGGTAAGTTATAGTTCAGCAGTTTTCTAGTATGTAAATACAGCTGAAAAATAATGATCTAAAAAAAGAGAACAGGTCACAGTTACATAACTATAACCAAGGTGGGCAATATTTTGTCTGTTAGCACATTATCTCATGAGCCACTGAATGGATTTTATAGAAACCCTCAGAAAATAATTATTGGATAAGCATCTAAAAGTTATTAACATTCAGGACCAGTCTGACTCAAGATGGCCACCCCAACAAACAATAATAGGAAAACACAAAAATAGCTATAGTTTAGTCAGTTTTACAGTTACTGAACTAAAATCTGCTGCGGTTGTAGCTGAGAGTTATTCACAAMAAATAYAAGAAATYTGACTCATTACATTAAACCTATRCCTATTAACTGAACCCTGAACWGTTGGAGTCTAACTTGTACGTCTGTTAGCAAAATATCTAATGAACTACAAGATAGATTTTAATGAAAGTCTCAGAAAGGTATCACTAGATGCACCTCCTCAGCTGGTTAACGTTTAGAATTAATCCAATTCAAGATGGCCACCACAGCTCATCTAATAGCAAACACAAAAACAGCAAACAGTCCGTTTTATAAGTATAGAGCTAAAACTCARTRTGGTAGTATTTGAGAGTYACATCTCATGATGTGGCATGACATGTCAACAACTGTGTCATTAGACAAACTCCATCTAAAACTCCAGCGTGAAAAGCAAAAGATACAGCTTTTCAAGGAATGGTTAGGCTTTTATTTTGAAAACTGGTGACAAATTCTGGGGGCATTTCTAGTTTCAGCTGGAGTTTCAGTCGAGCGAGCCAGATGGGGCCCGTCTGATGGCGTCAAAGTGTAACGCACTCAGAAAGCCTCCGAAAAATCTGGGTTGACTCCACCAGGTGCATATCCTGTTTGTGAAGCAACGAGTGCTTTGCATTCAGTTTCAGCTCATAACGTGAGATGGAGAGTTAAACACACAAGCGCATCCAAATCATCTGTGTGCACAAGAAAATGAGCTTATACATTGAAAAAAATTTAAAAAATAAATAAAAAAACAGCTGCTTAAAATATGCTACATTTGATCCAGAATATTCCGTCTCAGTGGTAATGCATTCCAGACTGCAACTAATTTTAGATTTTCATGTGGCAAAGGAAAGGAAATAAAACAGCTAGAATTTGATTAAAGGACATCTTTGCCCGTGCGTGATATGAGGGGGGAAAATGCAGAGAATAAATCGAGGCGTGTTTAAGAATAAGGTCATAAAAGTCTGGGTGAGCGTCCCCATTGTGTTGGGAGTGCTCATGTGTGAATGTGCCTGCATACGGCACAGTTTCACAGGAAGCACAGACTCCTTTATGTCACCCCACTGGGGTTTGCCAAGTGCTTGCATTAGTGTGTGCGTGTGTGTGTGTATGTGCGTGCGTGTGTGTGTGTGTGTGTGTACTGGGTGTGTGAGAATAAAAGGGAGGTTTATCTCTGTCTCCTAAAAGTGCGTGTGAGCGCTGTAAGCCACTTAGCTTCCATACACAGTCTTTTCATGTGAGCGTTTGCACGCCAAACTCTTGTGTGTGTGTGTGTGTGTGTGTGTGTGTGTGTGCGTGTGTGTGTGTGTGTGTGTGAATGTACACTGCACAAGGAGAGAAGCTGCCAAATGCGTCTGTGTCACTGACCGCACCACGCATCCGAGGAGGGTGGGGGTCAGGGAAGTTCACAGTTTTCTGTCATGAGGGCTGTAAATTCTGCTTTCTGACGGAGGCCCCCCTCTCAGCTAATCAGAGGGCTCGCTTTGGAAAGCAGGAAGCAGATAACAGATATCAGGGCCGAGAGACGCGAGTGCCAGCCCCGCCATGGCTGCTCAAATTAACAGAGCTTCATGGAGGGGTGAACGCAGGGCGGAGAGGGGGGCAGACCAAAGCACCCAAGCATGGCCGTGAGAGAGGAACTCTCCTGCGGCGGTTCTTCACCGTGCGGCCGACAGCTGTGGAGGTGAAGCTTTCAGTTTGTCACCGGTGGTGAAACCAAAGAAGGAACTCAGGGTGAGGTTTACTGTTTCCAACACACAAAACCAGAAGTGGCCGAACGTTCACATGCAGCCTGTCAGCTTGCTGCACTGCTGCTGCTGCCGTGTCACAAATACCTCTCGGTTTACCGTCTGGAGCCTTTCCAGCAGGAGGTACAACCAGATATGCTCAACATTGTTTTGTTTTTGGCTGACTTGTTCTGCTGCGATGTCACCTTCATATTTAAAAATGATTTGGTTAAATAATATTTGGAATTAACACTTAAAACAAAAACCTTGTCACCTCTTGTTGGCTCAGTATCTGTAAAACTGAGAATTACAGCCAATTCTGTGTCAGCTAAAGTCAATTAGCTGTGGCGGCCATATTGAATTGTGCTGACATCCATAATTAATCCGTTCTAGGAGAGCATCATTATAATCCATTTAGTTGTTCATAGGATATTTTGCTAACAGACATATGAAGTTCACACAGTTAATGAAAGTTTTAAGCAAAGATGAAGTGTAATGTGTTGAGTTTGGAGTAAGTGTTGGTGAGGGCTGTCAGCTACCAAAAGACCAAAATTTAGCTTGGTGTCTTCGAAATTGACAAAGTTATGGACATTTGTATGTTTTCCAAGGCGGATTAGCTGTGGCGGCCATCTTGAACTGTGCTGACTTTAAATGTTAATCGGCTCTGGGTGTGCATCCAGTGATTACTTCCTGAGAGTTTCGTTACAGTCCGTGCAGTGGCTCTTGGTATATTTTGCTAACAGACAGACAAGGTCGTGCAGATTACTCACTGATATTTGAGGCTGATCTGCTCGTTGTCTGGGTTGCAGTAGAGCCTCTCCAGCTGCTCCTGGGAGTCGTCTGCTATGCTCTGCCATGTCTGGGAGCTGCTCCTGCGGATCTGCCAGTGGTAGGGGAGGACGGTGTGGTGGTGGGCGCAGTCATTCCCATAAACACACTGGCCCTGCAGGAAATCCACGCAGATGTCCACCGAGTCTGACTGGTGCGTGTGGTACTGCAGCTGGGTGAGCAGCTCGAACACCAGGTCCAGGGAGGCTTCCTCACTTTTGTTCTGGAACAGGACCCCTTTGTCCGGCTGCAGGAGGAGGGGGTCCTGGGTGGCAGAGTAGTCCTTCACTGAAACACTTTTAGCCCCAGAGGTTAGGAGGTCCTTGCTTTTAATGGCCCCCTCCTGGTGCGGAGCCTGCGGGGGTGTAGCTATGGGAGGTAAATCCCTGTCGGAGGGGGTGATTGTCTCTCCGCTCCCCGCCGACCTGAGGCCGGCTTTCAGCTTAAAGCAGTCCGAGCCGGAGGCGCCGAGCTTGGGTCGCTCCCCTCGCCGCTCCGTCTCCTCCAGCTCCGCAGTAGTATCCGCTATTTCCACATCGCCGTCCCGGCTCATCAGAGCCTGAACCCCGGCCGCAGCCGTGRCCTCCTCTCCCCCGTCCTCCTCCCCTTCCTCGGCGCCCGAGTCTTTGAGGCACACCTGTCCGACGCAGCCCTGCTTCACCACGGCCGTGGCGCACAGGCTGCTCGGCGTCCGGACAGGCTGGTGGTTCCTGGGAACGAACACCCCGTCCCGGAACGCCAGCCCGTTCCTCATCAGAGACATCAGAGCCGGATTCAGGATGCATTTCGCGTCCAGCTTCCTCTGCTTCTTCTTGAAGTAAGGTTTCACCACGGGGATTTTGTCCGAAAGCCCCTCGATCGCTCGATCCGCGAAGTCCTCCCCGTCGTCCATGTTCAGGCTCACGTTCAGGGAGAACCCGGTCGAGACGCAGACGTCGGGTTCCGGGAGAAGGCGCAAAGTTTTATCCATGCTAGAGCCCGACGGTCCTGGGAGAAAGAGAAAGACAGTGAAGTGAGGTAGTCATCAAAGGGCAACAGCTTTAATCCTATAATCTCAGTTTCCAAGGTGAAGTCATCCAGCAGTGATTAATAGGTTGCCTGGGTGAGACCTGGTGCCATACAGTAACCGTGAAAACACTCCCTGCCTTTCCTTTCCCTGGAAAAGAAAACCAACACCATATAGACCGAAACGAAACCCTCGAAAACAAAACGGTATTAAAACCAGTCCTGCTCGCAGACTGGCTCCGAGAATCAGAAACAGGAGCAGCCAGAGAGTCATCGGTGCTCCGGGGAGCGGTACAGGAACAGCCTGTTAGGCCGATTCTCGCTTTGGAAGCAGGAACAAAATATTACCTAATCCCTGCTGCTGCGGGGAACCCGAGCCTCGGATTAATCACGTCCTTTCACCCTCCCCTGTAGTCTCCTTCTTGTGCCGTTCAGTCTAACGTCATGTCCCGCAATTACAGCTGCGTAAGATCCGCAAAGGAGCGATAAAAATCAGCAGTGTTAACAACCGACCTCCTCCTCCCCAAGAGCGCAACTCTCCTCCCGGGACTATTTTGATCACGGGAGTCAGATACGCGGCCCCTGCCGACTACGTGCCGCTTTACATCACCGCCCAAGTGAGTTCGCACGTAGGCTCCAGCTGACACAACCACGCAGATACACACACATACACACACCGACAAGCAGAGCTGACTGCGGCAATAAACAAGGGCACCGACCGGGGAGCTTCTTATTAACACGCCGCCACAGCAGCTCTCCTCTGGGGAAGAAAGCAGACCCGTCCGGAGCTTCAAGGGCGCTGAGATTAAAGCCTTTTTTTTTTTTTTTTTTTTCAAGCGAAGCACTGCGGTGGTTACGAAGACTGGGTGCTTTAAACAGCTTTCACCCCCCCAACCCAGCTGGTATTTAAGTTTTCTAACCACAAACACGACTAAACCATACCTGCGCAACACAGTCCACCCCCGTGCCCCCGCTCTCAGCACTCTTTGGTGGACAAAACCCTGTATGTACATCCGTGAAGCTCCACGTCTAGTCCGGGGATAACTATGATGTAGCTCCTCCGCGTCTGGAATGAACGGTGGTCCGGCCGGGTTGTAGCAGGCGTCCCTCCACGTCTCCCGCCGCTCGCATGCTCCGGCTTTATTTCATGCTGTCGGTTCTCTTTTTTTTCTCCCCCTTGAATCCCCACTTCTTTCTTTTTTTATCACAAGACAGAAGGGACACAGCAGCACAAGCTGACAAAGGAAATGAGTTGAGACAGAGACAGAGACGCTCTAGCCGGTGTTCTCACCGCCAGGCGCCGCCCTGTAACCTGCCAGAGGCGGAGCTTCGCCGCAAAGAGCTGGTGGTATGGAGCTCAGATA